TCTGTTTGTCAATCAATAATCTTTCATCTGTCTACCTATTATTTGTCTATCATCCATTTGTCTACGTCTCATCAATAACCTATTTTCAGAGAGACAAAGAATGTGACAAAATATTGACCAGGATTGACTCTAGGTAAAGAGTACATTAGCGTTCGCGGCGCTGTTTGAATTATTTCTATGTGTTTTTTAACTAGAAAGGCCGGCAGAGGGAGCAACTCCCTTCCTCAGGAGCTACTGTGAGCCCCCCAGGGCGGGCAGCCTTGGGAACCGCTGGTTCTGAGGGCGAGCCAGGGCGCGGTTGAGTGCGGATTTGGGTGCTTCTGAAGACACAGTATTTCAGCGTCAAAGCCTGGCTAGCTGCCTGATGGTGTTCGCTAGTGCAGTATGACTGTCTGTTAAAACAGAAAGTTACCAATTCGATCTCACTTGTATTTCTTAAAAGATTTAGTCTGATCTTTCGTAAGATAATGAGACTTGGAAAATCAAGGAACAAAAGCAAAACACGTACTTCCCTGACCGGGAATCGAACCCGGGCCGCGGCGGTGAGAGCGCCGAATCCTAACCACTAGACCACCAGGGAAGAGATAGTTACTGTTCTCTCGCGGCACTAGACTAAGTAACGACAATGGTGACGAGCAACTGCAATTCCGCTTGTGAACCAGCGAATAGGCAACCAGGCAACCAGACGACCAGTCGCCGGGGAGGACGCGACAACGCCGGCAGCTGTGAGGAATCTTGCAGACGAGGAGTGAGTTCCTGAGTGAAGAAAAATAAAAATATCACACTTTAAAAAAAAAAGTTTAATAAAAAGTATGTGTCAGAAGTGGGATTCGAACCCACGCCTCCATTCGGAGACCAGAATACCCGTAGGTAAGGCTTGTCACCTTGAGTCTGGCGCCTTAGACCACTCGGCCATCCTGACACTTGGGTACAGGCTTCGCCTCACTCGTCCTAGAGCCTGTGCTGCAGCCGGCACTGGCCCTGGTCTCGGCGTAGGAATTAAGGGCTTCTTTGTCTTGCTGGGAAAAGATTCGAGGCCAGCGCTGGACACAGTGAGCTCTACGCAGTTTCTGCCTGTGAACCCAGAAATGTACTTCTGGGAGAGACAATTGCAGCATCGAGGCTATGGAGCATCGCGCCGTAACTCTGGCCGGGGACTTCCGGGGGCCAGGCTGGGCGCTCCGTGTTTACCGCTCTGAGCGACCTGGGTTAGGTGAGTGTCGCTCCAGCAGCGGCCGGACGACCCTGAAAGCTTTAGCTTGCAAAGGGAAGCTACGCGCTGCCCTGCAGAACAATCCTGGGCAGGTTTGCGAATGGCCGGAGTGCCTTCTGAGAGGACCCGTCCTTCCCGTTTTTCTCTCCCCCCTCAACTTCTTTCTTCATCCTTCTCTCCCTTCTTCCTTCACTTAACTCCAACCTTCCCTACGCCCTGGTGAGCTGATGGAGATAATAAATACAGCTATGCAAACAGCAACAAACCAAACCAAAACAACAAACCAAAACGAACAAAACAGAAGAAAACAGAAAGCTATGAAAGGTAGAAGGATCAGAACTGCTGAAGAGGGCAGTTTTCTTTTGGTAAAACATTTCCCCAAAACTAATATATACAGACGCGAGGTGGAGACACTGGGATTGGTTCAATGTTATCCTTAGCTGCACAGTGAGTTCTGGAAACGCGAGAACTCGTCTCAAAAATGAAATAAAAAAGCAAAACAATAGCACATGACCCATCCAATCATGACTTTTATATATCTCGAGATTTTTATTCAATTAATGAATGAAGCTAAGGAAAAATATCCTGCTCTTGTTCAAATGGTTCAGGCTATTCTATTCAGACTATTGCAGAAGCAGAGAGAAACAGACTGTTTAGATCTAGCAAAGATCGCTGGGGTTGGGGGGGCGGGGTGGGGGAGTTGTAGCCAAGGAACCGGTGGCCAGCGTGGGTGGAAAGTTCTAAGAGCAGATGTCAAGGGCGCTAAACAGACCTCACAGAATTCTTCCAAAACCAAGTCAGAGACTTAGACATCAAAGGTGAGGGATGATGGACTTGACGTACCACATAAGGCTATCTCTCAGTGCAGCGTTGATTGAGGGAGTTCTCCGTGGACTAATCCAGGAGGACGGCTAATCTAAGAGATTAGGGGCCAAGGTTCAGGCCTAGTCAAAGAAAGGGCCCAGAGGAGCTTAACTACAAGTTGGTTAATGATGGATTTGTAGGATGTTAAAACCACACAGAGGAGAGTTTGAAGAGAGGCTGTTTTTTAAAAATAGCCCATGTAGTAAAAAAAAATGAATAAATATATAATGTACAGAAACTGCCAACAGATGTGGGTGAGTTCAAGTCCCCGTGTAATAAACTGTGGTGCTTGACATATGGCTTCTTATTTGAAGCTTTTTTCCCTAACAGAGAATACATTATTTTTCCTTTTCATTTCTCTTTTCTTTTCTTTCTGTCTTTTCTTTACTGTGTGATGGATCTCTACAGAGCCCTAGATGTCCTGGATCTCACTTTGTAGATGAGGCTGGCCTTGAACTCACAGAGCTCTTCCTGCCTCTACCTGAGTGCTGGGATTAAAGGTGTGCACCATCGTATCTGGTGACCATGCCTACCTCCATTAAACAAAATTCTTAATTAAAAAAAATTATGTGAGGTGTGTCTGTGTGGGCGTTTGTGGACACAAGTGCAGGTACCGTCAGAGTCCAGAAAAGGGAGTTGGGTCCCCTAGAGCTGGAGTCACAAGTGGCTGTGATCTGTCTGATGTGAGGTCTGGCAACCAACTCTGGTTGTCCACAAGAGCAGTAAGCACTCTTAACTATTAATCCATGAAGATAAGTCTTCTTAACTGTTTTTTTTTTTTTTTTTGAGTCAGGGTCTCACTCTATAGCCCTGGCCAGTTTAGAACTTGATATATAGGTCAGGTTGGCTTAGAGCTCACATAGACCTGTTTACCTCTGCCTCTTAGGTGCTGGAATTAAGGGGTATACCACATGTGGCGATCATCTTTAAAAATACAAATTATCTTGTGTGAGCATGTGTGCCATGCCTCATGGTCATGGAGACCGGAGGACAACTTTGTGGAGGCCATTCTCCCCTTCCACCCGTATGGCAGGTTCTAGGGATTAAACTGAGGCCCCAAACTTGCTCAACAAGCACCTTTCTCTGATGAGATACCTCAACAGCCTGTGATGATCTTATCATATGCTGAAACATAGTTTCCCTAAACATCCATGTTCTAACTACCAGAATAAGTTGCTATTTTGTAGCAAACACTTTGCAGATATAATTGTTTGAGGTGTTGAAATGGGATTACCCAAGTGGACTATGTGTTTGAAAGAGGAAGAGGAAGAGGAAGACTTGCACCAGAATGAGGCCCGTATGACCATGGAGTCAGAAGCTGATGTGATGTGGCCAGAAGTCAGAATGTTAGTCACCACTGGAAGATAGAAAAGACAAGGAGAAAATTCTCTTAGAGCTCTTGCTTGACATGTAGCCCTGCACTTTGGTGCTGACCTTTTGACCTCCAAAACTGCAAAGGAGTAAATTTCTGCTGTTTTGAGTTTGTAGTGTTTTGCTACAGAAAACAGTCAATAGTGTAAGTGGCTTGGGGTGAGGTTTGAGTCTCCAGGCTGTTCATTGTTGGCATCGTTGTGCCAGACACTGCCATAAATTCTTTATATACATGAAGTGTATTAACCGACTTAACAATGGAGAGTCAACTGGGGAGTCAAAGGAGTCTGGAATACAAAAAGGGTAGCCAGAAATATCAATCAGTGAGTGATCTAATTACATCACCCCCAAAGAGCGTATCTAAAACGGAGGCTTGCTAGGGACCTGAGCCTAGTGCATTCCATCTTTTGGTAACATAGAAGGGTCTAAGAGAGAAGAGGAGCCAGCCAAGAGGGAGGAAACCAGGAGTAGACAAAGTCTGAGAGTGAAGCTGAGAAGAAAGTGAGATGAATGTGTGGTAGAGGAGGAGAGAGCTAAACTCTTCTTCATTCTAGGGCAGAGAGGCAACAGAATTGGTCACTTCATTTAGCAACACAGAGAGGTGCAGGCCTGTAATCCCAGTACTTCAAATGTGGAGGCAGAAGTTCAAGGTCATCTTGGTTACATAGTGAGTTGGAGACCAGCCTTGAATTACAAGAGACCTTGTCTCAGGCAAAACAAAAACCAAAAAGGTGTCGTTGACAAGCGTCTTGATGGAAATAGCTTTCCCTCGCTTGATGGAATAACTCCATCAGAGCCATTTGTAGGTGATGTGAAATCAGAGTCTGCACAAAGTCTAGGCAACTTCTCGTGTGGATGGTAGCAGAAAGGGCTCTAAGTTGGCTTCAGCTGGCAGATGCTGCAGCTTGTGTTTGTTTGGGGGCAACTGAGAGGCAGAGACGCTAATAGAAGGAGCGATGAGGACAGAATCCCAGACAGTCGGTCAGGACCAAGGCTAACTACAATTCCCGGCAGGCTTTGCACGGGGCTCCCGGCGCGCAGGCGCAGGCAGCTGTCTTCCCTCTGCGAGTCCAGGCCGCAGCCTCCCGACGCCAAGGGGGACGGTTTCTTCTTAAAGGAGAAACAGCGGCGGCGCGCGCGGTGGGCCCCGGTCCTTCTGTGGCTTTCGGAGCAAGCACGCGGGTCCAGGAGGCGCAGGCGCAGTCTGGGCAAAGGCGGGTTGGGGCGTGCAGGTAAGACCCCATGAGGGTTGGCCCGATGCCCCGCTAGTGCTGGGTGGGCTTCCCCTGCATGAGAGGCAATGAGAAGGCCGAGGCGCGGCTGCACGCAGACCTGGGCGCCTCCAGACAAGAAGAGCAAGTTTCCAGTCGATGTCTTTCCCCCTGCCTGTGACCTCCCGTGCTCCAAGTGTCCACCCTGGCTCTAAGAAGGAGTGGCTGGATCCGAGAGTCGCGAGCGCTGCGGAGGCACTATGATCTGGTCCCCATTCATTGCAGACGGAGCGGGAGCTGTGTCTGTCCGGAACGCCCCGACGACAGCACGTTCCCCCCCGTAGGCCCGGGCGCCTATGGCCTCTCCAGTGGCAGACGCATCCCGCCGGCGGCGGGAGAAGCGCAGGCAGCTGGACGCGCGCCGCAGCAAGTGCCGCATCCGCTTGGGCGGCCACATGGAACAGTGGTGTCTCCTCAAGGAGCGGCTAGGGTTCTCCCTGCACTCACAGCTCGCCAAGTTCCTGTTGGACCGGTTAGGGGCTGGGAGGGACTGGGGCGGGAACCCAGGCACAGCCCCAAGCCGGTTCCTACACCCTTGGGTTTCTTGTTTGGACAGGGTGGGCCTGCTCCTCCCCTTGCAGCCCCAGCGAATGGGACGGCCCCTTAAGTGTATGAGTGTGGGCACTGAGGGTGGTTGGTTTCCTAGGCTCTGAGCTGACACCAAGCTCTTCTCTGGCAGGTACACTTCTTCAGGCTGTGTCCTCTGTGCAGGTAGGTAAAAGAAGTTAACAGGTAGTGGCGGTTCCCAGAAACTTATGCCCCAAGAGAATTGGATCAGAAGCTCTTACTGGGTTTGGGAAGAGGACAAGCCCGAAATAAGCCTGCAATAGTGCAGCAGCCTGGGCTTTGTCTCAGGACCTTTGGGTGTGTTTGTCTGGCTCTAAACAAAAACAAAACAACAAACAACTGTGTATCTAGGCTGAAAACAAAAACGAAACTCCCCAACTCCCCAGGGAGGTGCTGAAGCGATGGCTGGGTGGTGTGGTGGTCTTGCAGAGGACCCACATTCCTTTTCTTCCTAGCACTAGTGGCAGGGGACTCCACTGTGTGCAACTCCACCTGCAGGGAGATCCAACAGCCCTGGCTTCCAGGAGCACCTGCACTCATGTGCACACACACACCCACAGATACATAAACTAATTAAAAATAAAATATTTTTAAAAGAATGCTTAAAAAAAAACCACAAAAAAACCCTGATGCCGGGGCTGGAGTTATAGCTCAGTGGTTAAGAGCGCTGACAATTCTTCCAGAGGTCCTGAGTTCAGTTCTCAGCAACCACATTGTGGCTCACAACCATCTGTAATGGGATCTGGTGCCCTCTTCTGGTGGATCTGAAGATAGCTACAGTGTACTCATAAATAAGTCTTTAAAAAATTGATTAGAAAAAAACAAACAAACCAACCGACAACCATGTCATATGTGGTCTGAGGTTGCCCATGGGTTTAGAGGGCTAGGATGGCCTGAGTAGTTTTCTGAGTGAAGGGTTTCCATCCTTGCATGATGGCCTCATCTTACCTCCAGGTCCGGAGCCTGTGCCTCAGAAGGGTCTGCAGTACCTTGTGCTCCTGTCTCATACACACAGCCGGGAATGCAGCCTAGTGCCTGGGCTCCGGGGGCCTGGAGGTGGAGACAGGGAGCTTGTGTGGGAGTGCTCAGCAGGCCACACGTTCTCCTGGGAACCTTCTTTGATTCCTACACCTTCCGATGTGCCTAAGCAGGCCCCTCTCACATATACTACGGAGAGAACCTGGTGCTCAGAGGCCAGGAGGAAGCAGGAAGCTGAAGGTGAGTGAGGAAAGAAGTGCCGCGGAGAAAGAAACACTTTCTAGTCTTCTCTGGCTCAGACTGGTTCATCAAAATGATCTTTTAATCTGTTAAGTTTTTGGGCTGAGATAGGGTTCTCATGTAGCCAGGTAGCCTGGTCCTGCCTCTACCTCCCAAGAGCTGGAGTAATGATCTCTTTATGATAGTAAGGAAATATGTCCTCACATGCATTGCTAGGCATGGGAAGCAAAAGTGTAGAGTGATGGTGTGCTGCCTTCGACAGAAACTAGAAATAAGGTTTCAAAGAGAATTCACTTGTAAAAAGCACTACCAAGCAAACCAGGATGCCTTTGGGAAGAAACTGTCCTCAATCTTTGAGAATAGGCCTCTTTCTCTTATGACCTGCTTGTGCCAACAGGCTTGGAATGTGAGCAGCGAGAGAGGGCTCAAGAAACCAGGCTGTCCAGGTGAGGGAAGTGGGGGACTAGACAGACCTGCACCGGGAGTAGGGGTGAGGTGGCAGTTTCTCAGGCTTGTCTTTCTTGAGCTTGCAGGAGAGTAGACTCTCCATTGGAGACAGACCCACCCCTGGGAGAGGATCAGGATGTGGAGGAGGAGGAGGAGGAGGAAGAAGAAGAGCTGCTCAGTGATGCCAGCCCATGGACCTACAGCTCCTCCCCAGATGAGCCAGTTGGGATTGAGGGAGGATGCGGAACAGATTGGGAGAGGGAGAGGCAGCTGGCTATATAACTGAGAGATGTGCCAGCTGGAGGGATGGTCTTATTGCAGGGTGGGCAGGGCAGATGCTGGGGAAAGTGAACTTTAAACTTTGAATTGGGGATGTGGGAAGGGAAGTAAGGCTCTGGGGGAGGCTGAAAGCAGGAGAGTGGGCCAAGGGAATTGGGATTTTTCTACTTAGGGGTTAGAGGTGACTGATGCCCAGAGGGATAATGCTCTCCTTTTCCTTCTCTTTCCAGCAGTGAACCAGATGTCCCTAGGCCACCTCCATCCCCTGTTACCCACACACCTAAGGAGGGAGAGATTCCGCCAGTCCCTGCAACTCTGCCCACTCCCTGTACTGTTCTTGCCTCTCTGGGTTCTCCAGCTGCTCTGACATCTGATACTGAGGTGCGGCTGGAACTCAGCAGGACCCCTCAGGTGTCTGCAGAGCTGCAAATGACTGAGTCTCTGGACAGGTAACCTGATTGCTGAAACAGGGCTGGGGTGTCCTGGGATGTGTCACCCTTGAGGCCCTTGGCTTCTTCTTTGCTACCCATAGCCCTGGGAGTCAGGCCCAGTCTGCTCCGAATCCGACTTGGGATGAGGATACTGCCCAGATTGGGCTCAGGAGAATTAGGTAGGACTGGGGAGATGGGACTCTGGGGAGGGTCAGGAGTGAGGCAGCGCAGGCAGGAATCCTGCTCCCATTCTCCTCCCCCAGGAAAGCTGCCAAAAGAGAGCTGATGCCCTGCGACTTCCCTGGCTGTGGAAGGATCTTCTCCAACAGGCAGTATTTGAATGTGAGGGACACAGGCTGAGGCCTGTGTGGCCACTGGGGTTGGGGTGGAAGCTGAGGGAAAGACACCCCGGGCTGAGGTGTAAATACAGCTCAGTTACAGTGCAATTGTCCAGCATATGCAGGGCAACACATCAGCCTTTGTAGAGGGATAGGCCCATGCTTCACAGTTATTAAGGGCTTCTGACTCCGAGTGTAGGGAGGGCCAGAGGGATGGGAAAGTGTAGGTGGTCGGGGAGACCTAAGAAGAGCATCACAGGTCAGGTTCGAGCCTGTATGTAGAGACTGCAGCAGCTGCTCTAGTTAACTCTGGAAACAGGATTAGAGTGTAGGAGCCATCCTGTACCACCCATAGTCCACGATGTGACCAGATCACATAAGAAGGACTTAGTCATTGGGAAGTTCAGGTAGAAGCACTAGCTGCCAGGTAGTGTAGCTCAGTGGTAGAGCACTTGTCTGTCATATGCTGGGTCCTGGATGAGAACCCCAAACTGAATAAAGAAAATAGAAAAACAAACAAGAAATCCCAAAAGAACCCCTTTCCCTCAACAGTGCTCTACTTTGAGAGCCTGTGAGGCCTGTGTATTTCCAAAGCAGATTTAGGAAGAAAGCCCCACATTGGTATGTATTACTAGCAGTAGCAAGAGACTGTAGCACATATGAATGTGGTTATCATGCTCACACACACCATATTCTGTCCCTGACAGACAAGGTGGGATGAATGACGAGTGTTATTTGAAGTGGCATTTTGTACAGGGAACTCTGTGGACATTGCAGTGATGGTGTGCAAGGAAGTGAGTGGGTGGGCACCCAGAGGTGACAGGTGAGGGCAGTTATGGTCAGGGTGGTAGGATAGCTGTGCTTCTCAGGGCTTAGGTGAGGATGAGGCCAGAACGGTAGCCCAGATGACGATAGAACTGTAGTGGGAAAACAGGTGGAAGAGGAACCCGCCTGCTCACCCAACTCCAGTCTGTCTCCCTGGGAAGGCAGCATCCTTTTGCCTCTTCTCTCTTGTCACTCCCTAGCACCACAAGAAGTACCAGCATATCCACCAGAAGTCGTTCTGCTGCCCTGAGCCAGCTTGTGGGAAGTCCTTCAACTTTAAAAAGCACCTGAAGGAGCATGTGAAACTACACAGTGGTGAGTGGTGGGACCCCTGCCCCTTCAGCTGTCCTGGGGAGGACTCAGATCCTTTGCTCCCTGTGCTCCTTATAAGCCCTTGCCTGCTTATAAGGGCAACCTTGCCTACTAGGTTCTTGGTAGCCTGACCCTAGTGAAATGTCTACTCTAGTCATGTAGGGCCATGAAGAGAAGGGAAAGCGGGAGGGTGGAGAGCAGGAAGCACAAGTGACTTATGTGGTAAAAGAAGCCTTGCAAGCAAGACCTGAGTGAAATGAGGGATAGAGGGCAGCGCACGTGAGAGGCATCTACGTGATCTACGAATGGGGAGGAAGCCTTCAAGTAAGGATGATGTGGTTTCTACTTTGAGAGGTCTTCTAAGGTAGATAGATAGCTGCCTTTCAGAGATGGCTGTAGCAGCTATGTGGAGAGTCAGGGACTGTAGATGAGTAGAGATGGGTGTGTATGTACACTGATATGATGACTTGGACTTGCTGGTCACAGTTGGTGAGCAGTGGTTGAGGCTCTTAGTGAGAGAGAGAGACACAGACACTCACTCACTCAGAAGATTCCAGCCTGGGCAGCTGGGTAAATGGTGATGAGTCCCTGAAGGCAAGGAAGGGGTCACGGGGTAGGAATTTGGGTTAATACATGTTAATTAGATGTCAAGATTCAAGTATGGGATTTATAGTGAGCAGAAATCTGTCATTAGCATGTGGGTAGTGTTTGGAGCCATGGGCCTGGAGAATGCCTGCACAGGGAGGGAGGGGAGATGGGAGGGAGGGAGGAAGGTTTGATGTGGTACATTTGCTCGTAGAGAGCAGGCCTGTGGGAAAGAGAGGAAGGCATAGAAAGTGGCACTTGAGGATGCAAGTGTAGAAAATGCTCCAGGAAGGAGGGAGGGCAGGTTGACAACTGCTGCAGGTCAAGGAAAGGAGTGGGGACTAGATAACATGACTGTGTGGTGCACTCTGCTGTGGGGACGACAGCCACAGCGGTGTGGGTTCAAAGCAAGCTGAGCTGACGAGGTGGGAGATGCTGTAGTTTTGCTCTGCTGATGAGGAGTAAGGTCTTACATGGAAGGCTAAAAGCTTAAGGTGCAGAGTAGGAAAGGCAGGCTTGCTGACACCAGAGTTGGGGGAGTTTGATGAGAAAGAGATGAATTCTGAGAGACACAGTGGAGACATCCACATATTCATATATATGGGCAGGGGTACTAGTTAACTGGTGGATTTGGGGCAAAAAAAAGCTGTACTGGGAATGTTGGAGACAGCCCATAGTCTTCAGGATTCTGGACAGTGGGCATTGCAGAGCCTGTCAGTGAAAGGGAATACCATGGGGAGAGTTGAATACTCATGCCTATCTTTAAGCAGGCCAGGGGATAGGTTTGGTCTGAGATTGGACTTTTTCCAAGCTAGTACTGCTAAGGGGCATGGCAGATTGGTAATATGAAGTCCATAAAGGCAGTTGTGAAAATGGAGCCAAAAGGGAAGGGGTCTATGAGATGATAGTAGGGATGATGAATGGAGGCCTGGAATCATCAGATTGTCACACCAGAACAAGGCAGGAGGTCGTGGTTGGAGCCTGGTAGCACAGCACTTGGTAGTGATGCCCAAGCAGAGTTGGGGGATAAAGTGATGAGGAAACAGGTACAGTGATGCTGAATGACAGCATAGTGGCTGGTAGGTGTAGAGGACTTGATGTCAGAGCTTGTGGTGTGAAGGGGAGTGATGGAGATGAAGATCTGCAGATGTGTTACGTGACGAGCAGGTTTTCAGAGAGCTGGTGAGACAGTGGGAAGGGTACCAGGAGAAGCAAGAATGTTTCTGCTGTAGGCCCTTAGGTTAAGTGTTCTGTTGGGGGTGGGGGCGTATCATTGGGGCTTATTACTGCAACTCCAACTTTTGACTCTAGGCTTATGTGTGGTTGCTACTTGGTATTTCCTATCCACACAAGGCTCTAGGTCTCCATTATTACTCCTTTGACAGAGACTCAGCCCAAGGCCTCAGACAGGGGAAGTATGCCTGTGCCCTAGGAGCTAGGGACAAAGGGTGACAAGAATGCAGTTTTGGATGCCCTATTGTCTATCTCACTCAATTTTAGGATCAATCAGGTACAGGAGGTCCATATGCCTATTAGGACCAAAGACTCCTGAACCCCAGTACTGACACCACCTGTTGGGAGTGGTGGGCTAAAGCCTGAAGACAGATAACTGAGTATCCCTTGTGTGCCTACAGATACCAGGGACTACATCTGTGAATTCTGTGCTCGATCTTTCCGCACTAGCAGCAACCTTGTCATCCACAGACGAATCCACACAGGAGAGAAGCCCCTGCAGTGAGTGCCAGGGGCCATGGAGGAAGCTATTATCTGGCAGCCAGGGAGTGGGCAGCAGAACCCCCAGGGAGGTGAAGGTGAACTAAAGCTCCTTCCTATGTCTGGCTCCAGGTGTGAGATATGTGGATTTACTTGCCGCCAGAAGGCCTCCCTAAATTGGCACCGACGCAAGCATGCAGAGACTGCAGCTGCCCTGCGATTCCCCTGTGAATTCTGTGGCAAACGCTTTGAGAAGCCAGACAGTGTGGTAGCTCACTGTAGCAAAAGCCACCCAGCCCTACTTCCAGCACAAGAGTCACCTGGCTCTTTGGGGTCTAGTCCCAGCATTTCTGCCCCTGAACCCCTGCAATCTCCTGAGAGGGCTAGCTTCTCTACCTCTTCTGACTCTAATCCTGCCCCCTCGACATCCATCTCTTCACCGGGGGTGCCAGATCCCAGGAACACAGAGAAGAGTTAGGTGGTGGTTCCCAGGAAGTAGAATATTTGAGTGCAGTTGAGGGTAGGGCATCATAGGGCTCCAGATGCCAGGCTTTAGCCTTCAAGGAAATAATAAATGGTATTTTACACAAGTGTATACTTTGGTTCTACAGTTATAAGAATCTGGGAGTCTTTTGAAAACAGGCTATTAGTATATGTCAGAATGCATCACAAGCTGACCCCACTTACATGCCCAACTTCTAGACTCTTTACAGACCTTCCCTGTAGAGTGTTAACATCTGCCTTGGCCTAGGGGCACACTAGACCAGGAAGCAGATGACCCTGTCCTGTCTAGCATTTGCCTCTGGTTAGGCCCTGCAGTCTGGCCTTCTGGTATAGAACTAAGCCTCCCAGGGAAAATAGCTAGTTAGTCTACAATGGATGGATTTTTGAGAGGTAACTGGATTGTGGATCATGACTTGTCAACGGGTTAATCCTTTGATAGGTTCATAGCTGAAGGCTATTAGGCAGTGAGGCCACAGTCTCTGGAAAGTACTTTTGAAGAGTAATCTTCCCTGTATCCTTCCCATATGTCCTTTCTCCAGTGTAGGTAGCTTATGTCTTTCTGATTTGGTTCAGGCTCAAAGTGGAGCCAGTTGAAAACGGAGTGACAATACTGAAACCATGAGCCAAAATAAACCTTTAAGTTGATTTTCTTAGGCATTTTGTCACAGCAATGAAGAAACCACCACCAAAAGGGAAGAGAACTTGGAATTCATTTTGACAAAGGGGCTCTTGGTGTCACAAACCCAAGAAAGTAACAATATCACCAGCTATAAACAGTCATTGACCAGTTCCAGACTTTACATCCTGCTCTTGCCCAGGACTTCAGGTAACTTGTTTTCTTGGGCCTTGAAGCTTCATCTGGAAATCTTTTGTTTCACACAGTATCACTGGGCTTTATGGAGCCAAATAGTCTTCTGTATACCAAGACAAACATTTCCTACCTTGTTAGAGAAAACTGTCCTAAGAGCCATTTATTGAAGAAAAAAAATGTACACTTCTTTGTGTGTGCACATGTACCATAGTACATATGTGGATTCAAAGGATCAAATTCAGGTTGTCCACAGGTACCTTTATCTGCCTAACCATCTTGTTGGGCCCTAAGAGGCATCTTGTCAAAAGATATATGGATGGCCAGGCTGAAGACTTGGCCTGCCTACATGTATGCTAGGTACCTCTGCAAGGGAGAAACTTGCCACAGATCTTGGTCCTTTAATGAAGGGAGCCATTCCACTCTCTCATACTGCTTGTATGTTACCTCTGCAACTATGTCTCAAGCAAGAGAAATCAGTAGAGATTAACAGACAGAAGAGACCTGACTGACCAAATATGTTGCCTGAAGAGGCAGCAAAGATAGCTCAGGCCCATGTTACGGAGCAGAATGGCAACAACAGAACACAAGCACCTAGTGTGTCTTGCATAGGGCTGTGACATCGGTTCCCTGACTCCTAGTACTCAAGAGTTGGGGAATACAAGGATGGATGATAGAAGAACTGGTGGGGATTTCCATTTAGAGACAAAGCTAGCAACAATGTTACAATAGCAGGTCTGGCTTCCCAAACCATCTGAGATTTTCTTTGGGACTGAATGTGTGTTCACCCAGCCACTTCCTGGAGCCCTCTTAGCAAGTTTCCTGAAATGGGGATACTAAGAGCCCTGATTTCTCCTGTTCTGTTGGCCCTGTGAGAGTGAGAGTAGGACCTATTGTCACTTCAGTGACTACAGTGGTGGTGGTAGTGGTGGCTGCCATTGCAGCTGCTCGAGCCCTTCTGTGGGACCGCTGGTGCTGTGATAGTGACCGGCCATGGCTAAAGAATTTGCCACACTCTGTGCACTCCGCTGTCCGCTCACCTAGGTGTGTCTTTCTGTGCAGTGCAAGCTTGGAGGCAACACTGAAGGACTTGCCGCACTCTGGGCACTTGTGTGGTTTATGGCCTGCATGGTTGCGCAAATGTACATTGAGGTTGGAAATGCAGGTGAATCGCTTGCCACACAGCTCACAGTGGTAGGGCTTTTCCCCTGTGTGTGTGCGCAGGTGTTTGGTGAGGTCCGAGCGGTCTGTGAAGCCCCGGCCACACTCAGGGCACGGGAAAGGCCTCTCCCCTGTGTGGCTACGCTGGTGCACTACAAGATCATACCGCTGTCCAAAGCCCTTGCCACAAGTGGCACACACGTGCGGCCTTTCACCCTGGTGGCTGCGCTGGTGACGCAGCAATGTGGAGCTCTCGCTGAAACAGCGTCCGCAGTCACCACAGGCATATGGCTTCTCCCCAGTGTGTGTTCGCTGGTGCCTCACGAGTGTGGCACTTTCCAAGAAGCCCTTACCACATTCAGGGCACTTGAAAGGCTTTTCCCCAGAGTGCCTCTGGAGGTGTCGTGTGAGTGTGGAACTCTTGCTGAAGCTCTTACCACATACGCCACATCGATGGGCCTCAGTGCCAGGGTCACCGAGGCTGGGGACCACATGGATGCGGGAATGGTTCCGCAGCCCAGCACTGCTATGGAAGGCCCGTGGGCACTGTGTACAGTGGTAGAGCGTGCTGGGGGAAGGGGCGGTGGCAGTGGTAGTCTCAGGGGGGTGTGCCCGTGCAAGGTGGAAAGGAAGAGCACTCTGCCGAAAAGAGCGGGCACACAGAGGGCAACGGTGGGGCTTCTCAGGTGGGTGCTGGCGAACCCGATGCAGCAGCAGCGCAGGGACATGAGGGAAGCGACGGCCACAGAGGCGGCAAGGGTAGGTGTGGCTACGCCTTCGGTGCGTTCCCAGGTGCAGATCCAGCAGGCCACTACGACTGAAGCTCTGGCCACACTCGCTGCAGATATAGAGGGTCTGGCCAGCATGGGTCCACCTGTGCATACGTAGGTCTGCTGCTCGAGCACAGCGTTCACCACACTCTAGACAGCGGAAACGCTTGTCGCCACCATGGGCACGTTCGTGCCGCAGCAGCACTGCACTATACTGAAAGCTCTTGCTACACACACTGCAGGAATAAGGTCTTTCCCGGGACGCAGCCATGCCAGGTGCTGTGAACATGATGTCTGCCTTTCCCAGTCAATAATTTGTAGTTTTAAAGCCTGGAAAGTAGCAAAGGGGAAAGGCTGTGGCCTTGAAAACTACTCTTCAGATTCCTGGGTTTCTTCTTTCAAGAGCATATGTCCTGGCTGTTCAAAAGGCAGGCTACAGCTGGGCTCATTATTGTGATCCCTGCAGGGAGGTCACCCCGAATTCAGCACTGGCTGCAACAACTTTGTCTGGGGACACAGAAAAGGCACCTTGAACTCTCTAGGTATGTAACATATTAGCTAGTCTAGCTCTTAAGAGAGGAAACTCACATGAATCCCAGAAATTCAGAGGGGTGTCTCTGAAGTGCCTGGAAAGGGACAGATCATACCTGTCCATGAAGTAGAAAGGTATGGATTCCAAGGTGCCTACTTGTTTCTTTGTTAGAACTAGGAACTCTCAACATTGCTAGAGAGGCCAAGAAAGAAGTGTCTGAAAGTGCCTGATCTGTTTTTGTTGTTGCTGTTTTGTTTTTGATGTGATTTAGGTTCCAGGTGAATTCTTAACTTGCCATCCCTCCTAGGCCATCTCCTAATGTATCACAGGTGGGAATCCCTTACCTACCAGAAAATAGGTCTGACACGCATGCCGATCAAGTGGGTGACATGGCTACACTGATCTAAGGACCATACCTCATACTGGGTATCCTGAGCTTGTGACAGATCCCAGGCCCTGAGGGAGTCGTCACTAATAAAGTTAACCAGGTAAGAGATCAGTCAGCCTTTCTTTTTATAGACAAGGCACATCACACACCTTCTAGTGAAGTATGCTCTCAGATCAGCATAAAAAAAGCAAACAAAATGGCAATAGTCATTTTCTTGTGGGAAATGAAAATGTACCATGCCTATCATGCTGGCTTGACTGAAGAACCTTCTGTCTGGGCCTCTACCTTCTGTATGTAACTGGAAGCAAGTGGATGAAACTTGTGGCTAACAGTAAACTTGAGGTGTGAGCTTAGGATCTGTTTCTCCATGCAGGGTGGAAGAACCACAAGGGATATGCTCTTTTGGTATCTTTTTTTCTGGAAGAAGGACAGACTTTGTCTTTTGGTTTTTAAAACTTTGAGGCAGGGTCTATTTATGTAGTCCTGGCTGTCCTGGAACTCACTCTATAGACCAGGCTGGCCTTAAACTCAAGAGATATGGCTGCTTTTGCTTCCAAAGTGCTGGGATTACAGGCATGCACTACCATGTCCACTACCTGTCTCTGAGTGCTAGAATTAAAAGGGTGCATCACCACACCCAGCCAGAGGAAGGTATTTCTGAAATGGTTATTTTTCAAATATTAAAACCAAAGGGAGAATAGAGCCACGAGTTATCATTTGCTATTCATCTTACCTGTGATACTACTCTACTTTTTAATGTGTGTTTCCCCAACCCCACTCTGGACAATTTTAAATCCCAGACATTTTATTTAAAGTTGATTTTCAAACACTGCAAAGCAGGGGCACCTTTGCAGCCAAAGAGCCGACTTTAGAGTGGTCAGCTCTGAATCCTCAAGGGGAGCTTTCTATTTTTAATTTAATTTTAATATTTACCATACTTTTATGTGTATGCAGGTGTTTCTCTGTAAGGATATAGGCACAATAGTGCAGGTCCACAGAGACTAGAAGAGGGCATCAGATTCTCTGGAACTGGAATTATAGGCAGTTCCGAGCCACGTGAAGTGGGTGCTGGGAACTTAACTTGGATCCTTTGGAAGAGCAGTATGTACTGTTATCTGCTGAGCCATCATCTCTCTAGACCCTTAATTTTATTTTTGAGTCAGGGTCTCATTATGTTGCCTTGGCTGGCCTTGAACTCACAGAGAACTGCCTGCCTCTACCTTCCAAACTTGCTGATTGTTTAAGGAATATTTACCATCATGAAACTAAAATCTAGTGGCTGATTTCAAATGTACAAGAGCAACACTCTGACTCACCTGAGGTCTTGGGAGGCTGGCATCTCTCAGCCCATGCTTCTGGGTGCTCACCCTCTCCTAGGCCAGTGCTTCCCAAGGAATTTGCCCAAGGAAAGTAACCCAAACACACAAGTATGTACATATAAAAGGCAAACAAAATAAGATTCCATTTCTTCCTATAACAGACATGAGTGTAGGGTGCAAGCTTGCTGCGTGGCTTTTTCACATCTCTTCCTTACCTCACCCCATTACATGAGCAAATAGGTCCATGCCTGGGGCAGAAACCTGGAAAAAAAATTATAATGCTTAGAACACTTAGAAATCATCCTAAATATCATTACTCTGAGAGTGAGTCTTGAAGTGTTATAGAACCACTATGTTTTAGTTTGGAGAAAGGTTAAAGGGTAATTACATGGGATAACAGGTCCTGACTGTTAAATACTTTACTATTTTAACATCTTTCAAGCATACCTTATTACAACTGCAAGTCAGTGTCAAAATTAATCACAACTTAGTACATTTATTAACAGTCAACTGTGCAAATCAAGTTAGCTTCTCTCTGGGTGTCTGTTCTGCCATACCAATATTTCTTGGGTAGGATGAGAAGCTCAAGTCAGGAGTCATAGAGGATATCCATCTTGGAGCTAGGGTTAAGTAAACATTGTTTATGAAGTAGGAATGAAACTGACCGTAACTGCCCAGAGCTGTGCTTTCTAAAAGCTCCACATAGCAACTAAGCATTCGGAAGTGTTGTGATGCTCAAATGCACTTACTTACTTAAAAGTTTTAGCATGAAAATGATAAGTAAACTATCTCATCAACAATGTTTAGGGGTAGGGATGACCTAGGTTGTTTTCTAGTATGCACAAGGCCCTTGGTGCAATCCCTAGCATTACATACACACACACAAAATATTATAAATATGGTTAACATTTTATTTCTACTGGAGCAATCACACAAATACCTTTCAAGTTCTGAAACAACTTAGAGGAATTTTAGTCTACCCCAGGGTCCCCAAGAGGGCTGTGTTGGAACAAAGTTGCTAAATTCATCTGACCATTAGAACTTCACTAAGCTTGGAGGGCCATTCCCCCAATTTACCAAGGCTCAGTTTCCTGACCATCTCTTCTAAAGGATATGACTCACTTTTCTAGAAAACAGGTCCCTGTAATGCCCATCTAGGAGACCTTGTTGGAACTTGGGCTGTGACTGCAATACCCCCTCTCAATGCTAATATGAGTAAAACCATCGCTGCTGTCATGAGCATTAATACATGACTCTACAAATTTGGGTGTACCCTTTCATCCATCGTACTTTGAGGTGGTGGCTATCTTTTACCTTCCCCATCTCCCATGTAACCTGAGGGTTCCTTAAGGACTTGTCTAGTTATACTGAACGCATGCGGGTGTGTCTAGTGACAAGAAAGGTGGCTAGACTCGCATGTTCCTCAGAGACTGAAGATTCAGCTTGTGTGTGCTACATCAATCTTAGGTTCCTTGCCTAGGAAATGGAACTTAAATGAAGGGACAGGAACTTGAGGTAGGAATGTGGAGTATGGCTCTCCAGGGACAGCGACTTTTCGGTTGGATTCTTCCTAACTCTAGGAAGATACGAAATGCTGTTGTCCCTGAGGTTCTATGACCCCTGAAATCAGGTAGAGTTCAATTACCCATTCCTTTCTGGATGGTATGTGAGTAGAAAGATTTATGACAAGTGTGACATATTGAAGAGGCTGTCAGGAGTAGGAGTGATAACTGCCTCCATCTCAAGAACCAAGTCTGATCATGATCCAAATACAAATCAAAAGTTTTCATTTTGCAAAGATTGTGAAATCTGTGAAGGTTAGAAATTAGTGTGTAGATACAAGAACATACAGACAGCAAGAGCTTATCCTCTATCCCTCTGGGCAAGACTGGAGTACAGAATGGCTAGAAATCTTGGAGCAGAAAGAACATGGGAGAATAGACTACAATCTCGCTGGGCCTTCCAATGAGTTGGACACAACATACTCTACACTGCAGGGAATGATGTGTAATCATGTGTCAATTAACAATAGGATGAATCCTGAAAATGTGGACTTGTCATTATGACTATCACAGAAATTACTTACATAAACTCAGTTTTGACATTACCAGGTAATCAAATCTTAAGGGATCACCAACATATAAGCAGAGTGAAATGCTGCTCTGTGGCAAGTGGCTGTGTTAGCTCTTTCAAATCTGTTCTCTAGGGTTCCATTCACCATATACATTATATATACTTTGCTCTGGATGTTGGGATCACAACCTGTGAAAAGCCACACATATGCTGAAGATTCTGCAGAGTGATTAGAACTTATCTGGAGTGCTGCAGATGGAGAGCCTAAGTAATCCTGTGTCAGCTGTAGTCCTTGTAACAGCCATTTACCACCCACCTCTGCATCTGACCTAAGATCCTTAAGAATGTATTAATTTAGGAGACTGTTATCTTCTACTCACTCAGCAGCTAAGTATGTCACTAGATAGCATCTAAAACCTATAGCATGGGCTGGTAAGATGGCCCTGTGATTTTAAGAGAGCTTGAAACTTTGGTCGACCCTCAGCACCAATGTAGGGTGGCTCACAAGTGCCTGCAACTGCAGTTCCAGGGGACCTGTTGCTTTCTTCTGACCGCCATGGTTGAGTGCACTCATACACATGCTGAAACACATACACACCAATAAATCTTAAACCAAAACCAGGCCTCCCACCTCTTTTGTTGGCAGGGTTTTCTCATCTGCTAACTGTACTTTAGGTCATACTTTCTCTGGAGACAAGGTCTCATGTAGCTTCAAGCTGTCCTCAATCTTGCTACCTGAATTATGGTGACTAATGACATGATAGAGGAATTTGTTCTTTAAGATTTTGTTTATAAAACCAAAACACAACACCCAAAAAGCTCTCCCAAAGATTATCTTCCTGTCTACCCAAACTTATCTCCCAGCACCCCAACACAATAGTGCAAGCATCTGAGGCAGAAGGGTGAAGTCTGGTAGGGGTGATAAATTTATCTTGGATATCTTTATCTTCAGTCACCTTAACAGTCATGTATCTCTCATCTCTGTTGTAACAGTCTTTTGTACCATCAGACAAAGCTTTTGGAAGACATTAACTTAAACCACTAACCTTCACTAACCTGAAAGCTAAGACTATAATTACATAGCATCTAAAACTTATTTTCCCCAATTCTGCTGCAGCCTGTATATCTCACATTACCTTTGGAGAGCTTCGTTTTATGTTGACAAACCTGCTTAGAGGAACCAGAAAGGCAAGCATCCAAATTCTAGTTCTTCCATGACTAATTATGTGACCTTGAGGACTTACACTGCCTGTACTTTCAGCCTAGAATAACTCAATACAGGAAACCATAACAGTTTTCTATGAAAAGAGAAAGGTCAAAGCAGTCATAAACCTGAGAACTGAAGTTGTGCGGTACTTGCGATTTACTCTGCAGGACCGCCCTTATTTAGGCAGACCCTGACTGAGTCAGGGGTATAACTTACTGGCAGACTTCTATCACACCACAGCCAGCCAGGTCTTCCTGGCTTTCTCGCTCCGCCCTAAGAATCCTTTCCCACCCCGAAGGCACGCACACGCGGGCCTGCCTTAACCACACGCGGGCGCCGGCGCCCGAGTGACGCGAGACTGTGGGGCGCTGAGGCAAGACGGCGCGCAGCACACGCTTCCCCGGGTCTCCTGAAGCTGTCACTACAGGCCGGAGGCTGTCATCGCCCCTTGACCCGCTCCGTCAGGCGGGCGACTTCCCGGGTGCGCGGCCGGACAGCACCGCCGGCCTGGAGTAACTTACGCAGGCGCACTGGCCTGCCGCCCTCCCGTCCGGGCCCCTCGACCCCGGGTAGAGGGGAGACGGCGGCCGCCGAGGGCCGCGGCCCCGCCCGCCCTGCCTTGAGAAGCCCCCTCACCAGTCGTCGGAGGGCCGCTCCGAGCCGCATTCACCTCAATGCGTTGCGGACAGCGCCGGGCTCAGCGCGCGGGGGAAGGGGCGGGCGTAGTGCAGGGCGGGCCCAGAAGGCAGCACGCTGATTGGCTCACTCTGTCCGCAGGGTCACCAGCAGCGGTCGTTGGTTGTTGGGGCGTGGTGCCCGCGCAAGCGCACTATTGATCTGCCCTGGCGGAGGGCGGAGTTAACGTGGTCAGCCCGCAGTGTCACTAGCCAGGCTTAGCTAACTTGCTTCCCCTTTCGGTTGTCCACGCGTGGGCCCCTTTCTGTCACTCAGAGCAAAGGGCTGCGAGCCCAGTGCCATCTAGAGCCGAGTCAGGTTACTCGAGAGAGACCAGTGACACTCATCTGTCACCAAGTTAGTGTCTTTCGATACAGTAAGGTCAGACCAGATGCTCAGTCTTGGTTAATCTTCCCCATAGATTAATGACCCGTCCAGGTGCATTGCCAGGGTCGGCAGTAGTCCTATTCTGCTGACCAGCTGTCTTCCGGTGTGAATGGAGACAGCTCCCGACCTTTCAGAGCAAGGGTTTCCAACCAGCGCTTGCAGCTTAGAACGCCCAACTCAAACCTAAACCTGCTGGGGATGTAGCTCAGTTGACAGACTGTTGGACTAGCCCAGACCCGGAGTTCATTTACCAGTACCACATGAAACAGATTGGTGGTACACAGACTCGAAAATCCAGGCACTCCAGAGGTGGACGCAGCAGCAGCAGAAATTCAAGGTTATCCCGTGCCTCTGCAATTCCTAGTCAGCATAGATAGACCCTGAGACGCTGTGTTGGTTAGTTTTGTCAATTTGATAAAATATCAAAACACCTGAGAATACAGTCTCAAAGAGAATTATATGAATTGTGTTGATCCGAGGTTAACTTGGGAGATATTTTTATACTTGGGTTAAGTGAGGTGGAAGGCCCACTCAGAATGTGGGAGGTACCATTTCATGGATTAGGTTCTGCACTGTTCAAGTGCTGGGAGGCGACAGAAAGCAAGCAATCATCAAGCATCCATTTGCTCTTTGTTCATGACTATGGATGTGACTTAGGACAGGAGCAACCACCTCTCTTAAGTTCCTGCTACTGAGACTTCTCTGCGGTAATGGACTAGAACCTAGAGTTGTAAGCTAAAATAGCCTTGCTCCATTTAGTTGCTCTGTCAGGGTTTTTTACTACAGCAACAGACATGAAACTACTTGTTAAGACCATTGTTGAAATAACAAAAGCGTAACTTAAAAAGTTTGTGACTTATTTTTGTAATATATCTATAATTATTTGACTTATAGTACACATTGAAAACTGATAGTATCTTCAAGTTGCTTTTTAAAATTTATTCACTTTATAACACAATATTGGTCCTCTCCTCCCAGTACCCCTTCAAGCAAATCCTTCCCCATTGTCCCTCCAGTTCTCCTCTGAGTGACTTATTTTGTAACAACTTCACAGTTGTTTACTTTCTAGATGACAACAGATTGAAATGTCACACAAATATATTTGTATGTACACATGGGTTCAGCTTTATGGTAGTTTCCAGGGTGTTATTTTCTAGGTGCAGACAGTGAAACTGGCCCCACCAGATGTTACATAGGATTGTGGTGATGAGTAAACAACAGCGATTACTGAGCTGCTAACCTGTCATTTGCAGAACAGGTAGGCTTTGTTTTGAGACAGGGTCTCACTATGTAGCTCTGGCTGTCTTGGAGTTTGCTATGCACACTAGGGTGCCTTCAACTCAGAGACCCACTCGCCTCCGCCTCCCCGTGTTGGGACTGAAGGTGTGACCACCATGTCCTACAATTAAGATTAGGCATTATTTGATGATTAAAGGCATTTCCACACCTCAGTCCAAATCCGAATCGCCTGCTGGGTTTTAGGCCTTCCATGTTGCACAGGCAGCTGAGATACGGAAGGACCCAAACCTTGCTTTCTATTTTCCTGTCAATTAATTTTCATAATAAAAGTAAATATAGCTCCTTGTCTATTATTTTTATCCTATCATGGCTTCTAGCTTCAAAAGAAAACACAGCCTGGGGACTGTAAGGATATCTTAGTGGGTAAAGGCTCTTGCATACAGACCGTACGGCCTGTTTGATTCCTAGATCTCACAAGGTATCAGCAGAGAATCATCCTCTAACATGCTAAAGAAGGTGTACGTACGTGTACACACACAACAAAATAAATAAAAACTACATGTGAAGGGCAGTTATTTAGTAAAAAGTGAACAGCTGACTACATTTCTGTTAAGGCACCTTGCTTAATTTGCAAGGAATTCATGCAAAGTTTCTAAGACTATGACTTAAAAGGCATTAAACGCAAAGACACTGCCAAATTAGGTGCTTCTCAAGGATCGTGTTATAAGGAGATATAGAGCTGGAAAGCTTCATTTTATACACCTTCCTTGTCTCTTCAGTTACTACATCTGCCAATTTTCAAATGGAATGCAGAGCTGCAATCTGACATTCAAGTTAAAGAAGACTTGATTGTATCTGACTCGTAGGTCCTATCTTCCTAGATCTATTCTTTAACTTATGGTCACAACTTACTCATGCAAGCAGCTACATCTGAGCAACTATTCTGAAGAATGAAACATAGTTAAGAGTAAAATTAGAACCAAAATCTTATGGACACCTGAGAATTGAAATTACTTCACTGAACTAGATATTTATGTATTGGGTCTATCTCACTAGTTTTATTACCTTCTTTGATTTTTAAATAATTCTTATTAGTGACTATAAACCTGGGACTTGTCCAATGATTTTAAATGACACTCTGAACAGGGTGCTGCATAATTAGAACTATGCAAAACTTTTTTGCTTCTATATGCTAGCAGACCTCATTAAAATGATACATGAACAACCCCCCCTTTTTTTGCTAGTGTTTTGTATTTACTAGGTAGCCCAAAATGATAGTTCTTCATCTAATGTGGACCAGAGATGACAAAAGGTTAGATTCTGGCTGCAGAGCATACTGAGTGTAGCAGGGCAAGAGTCCTAGAAAGTGGAGTGGGTAAAGATTTTGGGAGAGTTAACAAATCATGGAATCTCTTAGCAATAGGATGAGAAGTGAACACAGACCCTTATAAATGCTACACACTAATAATAAATGATAGAGTCTTTATTACAGAACTACAAGCTTAACTTTCTACAAGCTCTTATTGGTGCCACGGTGTCTACACATGGCTAGGTAATAGAATATAAATAAAACATCACATGCCCATCTCATCCCCAGAAGTGTGAGCATCCCTCAGTGGGAATGGCAGAACCAGAGGCGTGATGTGAGTCCTGTGAATGTAGGCCTGCTGTTACTACTGTGTAGGGGAAGAATCCAGTTTTCCTCATCATGTTACTATATCACTGTTTTCCATTATATGTTTCAGTTTTGGTTCCACATATAAAGCATGTCTACCTCCTGCCTCTAGTTCTTTTCCAAATAACTTCATAGTGGTCAACTGACAGTTTTCCAATGGTGGAAAGAACCAAGCACAGCAAAGTGAAATATAATTTAGAACTAGAACAGAAAGACAGGGTTAACTAAGTTCTGAATTGCAGACTTCAGGATTTTACAAATGAAAGTTTTAATTAAACTCAAGTTATTAATGAAAAGGCACATCAAAATAGATTTCAGGAAATTAAAGAAAATATGCATTAACATTACAAATAGCATCAACAATACAAGTGTTTATACTGGCTCTACAGTTATCTTTTAAATTATGTTAGTCATCTCCTTTAGAAAGACTTTTAACTCTGTCTATGTGTATGAGTATGTGTTTGTGCACTGAGTCGCCTAAAGCTGTGATTACAGGAAATTGTGAGCTTCTTCACATGGATTGTTAGGAACTCAATTCATGTTTTCTGGAAGCACAGCATACTACTCTTAATTGTTGACCCATCTCTCCAGATTTTAGATAGTAATCTTTATAAAAAAAAATGATTGGGGTTCCTGTTTACAGGGTGTGGTCAACTTCAAGGTGTCAAACACCACCTTGTTCAAATTAACAGAAAGACTATTTCTTTTTACCCTTATGTAGGTAAACTAACTATAAAGAGCTATCAGTAAATTAAGCATAGGCAAGCTACATGAATTTGGTATAGTACAAAAATATAACATACTGATAAGGTATTTAAAGATCAACATTTTTGAAAACAAACTTTATTAGTTTAAGATGTCTTAGTCTTTAAGGATGCTATTATGAAAATAGTAATAATCAGGAAAAAATTACGTCCCAAACTAAGGTAATTGGCAATGCTTAGGAAGAGTAAGCAAGGGGGTCACAGCAGTTCTAGGACTGGAATACAGTGAAACCATCTAAAACATGCCCAACCTGCTACTGCCACTCTCATCCTCCACAGTCTGTTCTTCTGCCTCTGGGCCGACACAGCTATGCTGTCTTTAATGCTTTTAAAAGTTAATTTTTGTTAATTAAAAAAATATGCATATATGTCTGTGTGTCATATGCAGGCAGTGCCGGAGACCAGGAAAGGGAGACAGATCCCTTACAACAGGAGTTACAGATGGCTGTATGCTGGAAAACGAAGCTGGGTCCTCTCAAATAACAAACCAGCTTGTCAGGCTTGTGCTGTGATGCTTCTGTCCATGGGGCCTCTCATCAGAGCTTTGCTTTCATCTTTTACTTTCCTCACAACATACCTAAACCATCTTCATTAAAAACTAGTTGGTTTTTTTTTTTTTTGGTTGTTGTTTTGTTTTTTGCTCAAGCCTTTAGTTCCAGGGCTAGAGAGAGGTGGATCTCAAGTTCTAGGACAGTCAGACCTATACATCGAGAGCCTGTCTCAAAAAAAAAAATAAAAATAAAATTAATAAGTAGGTTTTGGAGGGCTGGAGAAATGGCTCAATGGAAAGACACTTGCTCTTGCAGAGGACCTGGATTTGGTACCCAGAACCCACAGGATGGCCTACAACGTCCGTAACTCCAGTTCTAGAAGACCCTATGTCTCCTTATAACCTGAGGGCACCAGACATGCATGTGGTACATGCAAGCAGGGAAAATACACACATAAACAAATCTAAAACTAAGAATTCTAAAAACTAAAACTTCCAATTTTTGCAGTGCTATGGACTGAACTTAGAACCTAGGGCTTTGCACATATAGACAAGTTCTGAGCTCTATTCCCACCCTCCATTCTAATTTTTTACTTCTTATTCTGTTTTGGAGACGGTATCACACAGTTACCTAGTGTGACATTCTTCCTGCCTTAGTCTCTGTAAGTGACGGGGTGACAGGTGTGTATGTGCATACGTGCTGACTCACAGCAGTCAGCACTCTCCTTCTACTACCTGGGTTCCAGGGATCCAACTGAGGCTGTCTGATTTGCAAAGGTGCCTTTTAATTGTTGAGTGAGTGATCTTCCCAGTCTATACCTTTTATACTGTATTTCTGAAGGTGTGTGTATATGGAGGGAAGGGATTGAATCAAGGGCCTCAGACATGCTAAGCAAACCTCCATCAGTGGACTAAATCCCCAACCCTTACGTAGTTATTTACAGGGTTAGAATGGAAGGGGAGAACTAAGAACTGCAGAACTCTTGGTACCTAATGTTTACATCCAAAACCTTATACTAAGAGATAACTAAATCCTAGCAGGGTTTCTAGCACCAGTGGTCTTGTTCCTAGGATGACCCAGCCCCTTGTGCTTCACTCACACAACTGAGAAAGCCCAACACTGACAGAAGAAACTGTGTATTTTGAGCGACTCTGTTATAGAATATCAGAGTCCCAGCTTCCATTTCTTAGAGCACTTACTAAAAAGGGCCTACAAATTTGACTCCTTCCTTTATCCCTTTAAGGTAGTGTATGTATTTCTTACTCTTTAGGAGTGCCCTTCTCAAGAAGCCAAGGGGCATACATCTTTGAAATGTAGTCATTAGGAAAGGCAGGGCCTTCATGTCCTAGTCTTGGAGAAACATGAAAAAGATCCTTTGGTCTAACTTTAGTTAGGCTACTGAACTTTTTTCTAGGCCTGTTGGAACACTATCTTATAAAACTTCGTTTTAATGAAGAACTTTGTGAAGTGAGTTTACCAAGACCACTCCTCTACCAACCTTGCAAGTCAGGCTCCCAATTCTAGACACAACCCTTCCAGGATTGTCTTCAGCAAGAATCCAGTTAGGCTGGCTTATCCAGCCCCCTCTACCCTACTTTTCTCTCATATCAAATTCTCATCCACTGACCCCCAACAATGATCTCTGGTTATAAATTTTCCCTTTGTTCATCTCTAGTTGGAGCCCAATCTCTCCCACACTGTACCAGCTCCTATGATCTAGCTGTACAATCCTTTATACCAGTAGTTCTTAACCTGTAGGCTGTGACCCCCTTTGGGGGAGGGGGTTTACTTATCATACCTGAATATCAGATATTTACATTATATTCATAACAGTAGCAGAATTACAGTCATGAAGTAGCAACAAAATACTTTTACAGTTGGGGGATATCAAAGATGAGGAACTGTATTTTAAAGGGTCGCAGAATAAGGAAGGTTGAGAACCACTGTTTATACAGTCTTCCTTATCGTTCTTCGACAATTCACAGAACACTTTTTAACATAACTGCTAACTAGAAACATGCTGGCCTTATAGGATTGATAGTTGAAGCCTGTTTCTCTGGCATTGCCTCCCTGGCATAACTGTAGCTATTTTGCTTCATCCCTGCCAGCCATCTCATATTGCTGACACTGAAATTAGCTTGACTGCTGACACAGAGAATAGTTTGGCTTAGACAGAGGTCAAGTTGAGCATATATCCTGTTATGTTCAGAGGTTTGTTATCATGTTTTGAGGACTGTTCTTGCAAATTCCCCAATCATAGACTTCACTCAGAGTCAAGCAAGACAGAGGTTGACTTGAACTGTTATGTCTAAACTATAAACAAACAAACAAAAAAAACCCAAAACAAAATAAAAACAAAAAAACCCAACTTGGAAAAAGGCTAATCACCGTATAATCAATCACCTTATAGCTCTCCCTGTACATGCTTGAGTTCATTATGGTTTTCTGCCTATATAAACTCACACTGAACAACGTTCATGATCATAGTATTCAGTTTCCTAAGCTATGTCTATCGGCCTTAGGGGGTGCATTCAATAAACTATCCCTGTCTGATAGAGACTGATGTTCCTGTGGTTTGTGGGGCGACTCCTGGACCCTAACAGTGACTAGCTCTGTAATTCCTTTCACTTCAGACTATGGAACCCCGTCCTTCTTCATTATCATTCCCTGTAAAACACCTAAAGACTCCTACACAAACAGGAATGCAGCTCTCAACTATGTTTTCTTCACCGCTTTACTAAACACGGGCTATGTGCCACAGAACCCAATGGGAAGAGAATTTGACCCAGATACATGCTTCATCCCCAGGGAAAAGCCTGAGGCTCCGAGGCCGTCAGATATTTGTACCAAGCAAATACTCCACCCTGCAGCTCTTTCCATGGCCTTGACCCGTCTTGCATAGGCATACATAGCGTAGATATCCAGACCACCTATTAATGGAGTAGAGAGTGATACACTGGGCGAAGTTCGAGCCTCCTCCTCCTCCTCTAGGAAAGTGAGCTAACAGTGAGATGCTCAGCATTCACGGCGTAGCCAGTGCCCCGTGAGGCCTGCTACTTAGCGGGAGAGATGGCCACCCCCTGCAGGTCTCGGGAGAGGTTCACCCACCTGTCTTGACCTAGAGTCCGCCGGCTTCATTGAGCTGAAGAAAAAAAGAAAGAAAGAAAGAAAAGAAAAGAAAAAGAAAAAAAAGAAAAAAATCACCTTTGAAAAACGACTTTCGTTTCTGTTAGCAAAACCCAGATCTGAACGGGCCGAAACCGGAAGTCCGCATCATTTCCGGTCGCGCCAGGCACTGACTGCCCATAGCCCCGCCCCCGTTCCTTAGGCACCGATGGCCGCTTTCTCGTACGACACAATTGCTAGCATTTCTCGAAGTGGGACGGACTGTCGCTCTCCAGTACCTGCCGTCGTTTTCCTCAGAAACTCATACTTATGCATTCATTTCACTTAGGCTCGGTTGGCGGGTGAACTGGGAGCTAGGAAAGGCGACGTTGGTCATAGAGTAGTGCCATCTTGTACGGACGCTGAAGCTAGCACGCCGAGCTTTGAGCTTACATCGGGCAATGCTTGTCAGAGAGGAAAAATAGCGTTGTTACGTGATGGCGTATTTCCGTTTCCTCTCCGCCAGGGCGTTTCTGGTTGGACCGTCTTGTTGCGGAGGGAGGGGGAAGATTGTTTGTTCCGTGGATGCTCCCCGTATAGCAAGGTAAATTGAGGTAAAGCCGGGAAGGGGAATTTTTTTTTTTCTCCTGGTTAGATGGGATGGCTGGGACTCAGATGTTGGGTCCGCGGAAAAGTATGCGATTGGAGCCTGGAGGCTCAGATAGCCCCCGGGGCTGGAGATGCAAGGTTGGGGGATAGAAGGTGAATTGCAAAGCCGGACCGGGTAGAGGGGGACAGGCCTGATGGAAAAAGGGTGTGGGGGAGAGGGTGGGGCCCAGAGCGAAGTTTGGAAGGGGAGAGACTGTAGAGGGACTGTGAAGGGAACAGGGTCGGGAGCAGAGTTGGACCTAAAGTCCTTGAGGCCTGAGGAAAGAAGTTGAGGTGGGAACTGGTCGGATCACGGGAGTGCGTGTTGGGGATACAGTGGTATCTTTGGGAGACCCAGGACTTGGAGGAGGCTGCTGGCCAAGCTTCTAATGCTGACATCATATGTAACTTGGCCTTTGTTTCTCCTGCAGCTCCCCAGAGGCGCATCTCCTATCCTCTGCTTGGACTTAGCCTTCTCTCTATCTGCCACCACAGCCTGGAGGCGCTTGCCTCCACCCTCCCGAATGGTGCTCCTCTTCACAGGCGTCGGCCCAGGATCCAGGCCCCCTTTGCTCCCTGATTTGGAGCTGTTGCTGCTGGGGTCCCTTGGTGGACTCCTTGTGGTGGGGTGTGAAGGACTTTTGCACAGACAAGGCTTTAGTTATAGGGACCTCATCAGCAGTTTGAATGTCAGCCTTTAACTGAACGTGGGGCTCTTCTGCACCTTCTTTTCGGCCTCTGAGAAGAGAAAACCCTTCTCTATTACATCCAAAGCCCAGGAAGCCTCAAGCTGGGGCCCTGGTCCCAGCATGTCAGCCCTCTCTTGTGCATAGGGCTCTGCCCTCTTCCAGCCAACATGGCTGATCTCAAAAAGGTTCCAGGGGGCCGGGAGACTCCACAGGGGGAACTGCGGCCGGAGGCAGTAGAGGATGAAGTCCCTAGGAGCCCTGTCGCAGAGGAGCCTGGAGGAGGCGGAAGCCACATCGGTGAGACCAAACTGTCCCCTAGAGAGGAGGAAGAGCTGGATCCTAGGATACAGGTGAGAAGGCTGATGGAGGTAGGAAGACCAGGTACCAGACTTGCTGAAGAGCTGTCAGATGAATGAGGCCTTAGACTTCTCTCTCACAGTACGCTGGGGTGAGGAACGAAAACAAGCATGCACACAGAACATGGCAGTTCAGTGTGACAAGCGCTGATGGAGAGCAGGGACCCTGCCTGAGTGCTTGGGACATAGAACCTTTCATTGTTCTTTCTGAATAAGCAGAAGGATTGCTAGCTCAGATTTCTTACATATACTGAAGGCAGGAGGAGATGACTGAGACTGGGAGGCAGTTTTGAGGCTGAGGAAATCTTCCTCCTTTTTTTTTTTTTTTTCCTTCCAAGGGATGTCTCTCAGAATCATTTGAGTTGGGACCTTTCAGGTATTTGAAAGGTTTGAGCCTGTAAGGAAATCAACCCCTATCCCCCTCTCTTTGAAACAGGATTCTTTGTGTAGCCTTGGCTGTCCTGGAACTTGATTTGTAGAGTAGGGTGACCTAGAACTCAAAGATCTGCCTGCTTCTGCCTCCCAAGTTCTGGGGTTAAAGGTGTACGCCACCATGCCCAGCAGGAAATCTCTTACATTGTAAGGGTTTATATCAGTTGTGATCGGTCCTTAATATACATTCCTGGCTCTTGGAATTGTGGGCTTACCAGAAGAATGTCAGAACACTTTACTGTCATGGAATGTGGACAGTCTAGTTGGTGAACCAGAAAGATGGTTGTGTAAGAGACAGCAGGAACTGGGTATGAGGAAGAATGGTCATTGTGGAGGAGATGGCTGCTAGGACCAGCTTAGTTATCTATAGTGTTTCAGGGTACTGTCCAAATGGACTGTGTGGGAAAGTTTCTTGGGCTGATAATGGCCAATATGTGCTGTATGTTTGGGGCCCATGTCTACCATTTAGGTAGGTTGTATCTTTGAGATTCTGTTATTGGGGAAGTGATTTAGCTCCTTCTAGGTAGGTAGAACATCCTAGAGCTTGACTTCTTGGGCTTTTCCTTCAATAAACCTTACTGGGTAATGCCAGTGAATTGCAAAGAAAGTCCAAGTGTGTGTGTGAACTGAGGCTCCTTGGGTTGTATGGGAGCTTATAATGGAGCTCCTTTCTGGCATGAGTCAGTAATTTAGTTCTGCCATGCTATAAGATGCTGCCTTGAAAACAACTCAGCTTCTCTCATTCATTTTGATGATTTGTCCTCCACTGAGAGAATGCATTGAAAAAAAAAAAAAAAAGAAATCTTGGGATAGATATTCAAGCCACTTCAGTTCCATGATTTGTGATTTTTGAAAAAGTTAACTTCTTTAAGCTTCTGTTTGTAAAGTGAGGGACTTGGTTTGTCTGATGTGCACAGCTCCCACTCACTGTGCACATGGGTCTAGAAGTTTATAGACAGTGAGTTAAGGAGGAGCGCTCTGTCCTCCAGGAGACGGGCATGTAACACACTTCTTACACCTGCCTGAAATATCCCTCGTTCTGTGCTGGAAAAGCCTTCTTTCCTGGTTTCTTTCATCAACCTCTTGTTCTGTGTATTTCTCTAGTAATCATCATGTAGGCAAAGGTAGTAGATTCAAGAGGCACACTTGTGGCTATGTAAATACAGTCATTTGAGATAAAAAAAATGCAGTTGTGTACTCTAGCGATGGTTTAGACAGGACATTTCTGCCTTCATAGTTCTGTCAGTGAGCTCTGGGAGTGTTAGAATGTCTTGGGAATGCATGAGGTCCTCTTTGCCTCCAGTGAGCTTGCAACGGGGGGGGGGGGCAATGAGACCCTCGTCTCTCTTGCCAAGTGGTACAGCACTTAGTGTAGTGTAGGTGATACAGGGAGGAAGGCCTTACATGCTCCTCTTTGGATGACACAGGCAGGAGTAGGTCAGTTCTCCAGCCTCACCAGGGATTTAGAGTTTGCCATTTGTAAAAAGCGGCCTGGTGTGAGGAATAGCTCAGTTTTTAGGTGAAGATCACAGCATTTGCCCTTCTGTATTAGTATTCTTTTGGGTGCTGAGGAGGTGAGTTAGTATGTGTTTGAAATTCATTTTAGTGTTGACAGTGACCCATATCACATGCCTTGAAAATGTGCTTCAGCTCCTTCAGGGAGTATCTGCTTTTCTAGATCAACATATTTAATCTGTCTCCATTAACAGATCCATCAATATCCACTAAAGACTATTAAAAACCATTTTCACTTGCTTTGCGGAGTAGGATAAGATTAAAATGAAAGCACAGCCAGGGCTGGGTCCACTAGACAAGGGGTAACACAAGGGTCAGGCTCTGACCTATTTTAGAGTTTTTTGAATTTCTCAGAAATGATTATCCTCAGGGTGAGGCTCTTTGATGTGGGGCTGGGTTTCCATGGCTGACAGGCAGGTAGCTCATCTTGTCATCTGGTGAGATCTCTCTGGAAGTAGGAGGGAGACTAGGCCATACTTGCCTGCTGTATGTGTTTGTTTACCCCTTCAGAAAAGGCTGTGTCTCCATCAGGTTCTCATTGGATCATTGGAGTTCTTCATGTCCTCCAGCTTTTGGAAAGAGGGTCTTAGTGGATAGAAGTGAGAGGTGTTGGTCAAAGGGTTTGTTAGTGCCAGGATGGGCCTGGCCTCTCTGGTTTTCTCTGCCCTCCCCCCCTTTTTTTTGGTGAGATAGTATTTCATGTAGTCCAGGGTGGTTTTGAACTCAGTGTATGGAGCTCATGCTTGCTTTGAACTCCTGATCATCACTTCTGTCTCTGCATCCTGGGTCTGAGATTGTAGATCTGTGCCACCATGATTGGTGGACACACTCACTTAACCCCCAGTTCTTCAGAAGGACTTTGCATCCTCAGAGTTCTCATCTTCAAGTGTCGGCATAACTGAAACAACAGTCATCACCCTGCCCCTGTTAACTCATCATCTGCTTCGGCTTTTGATGCTTTGTCAGAGAGGACCAGGAGCATCTGAGAGTGGAACAGAAACATTTGTAGTCAAGCACCCATGCTTTGACTCAGTGGCCTGGCATTCTGGGAATGTATCCAGAGTGCCCCAAGAAGGTCATCTTCCTGCTGGCTGCTGGCTTTCTGACAGATGATGTGTGCTGACTCAGATTCTGTCCTCCCTGAATTCCATTTTCGCTGAGTGCCAGGAGTCCTAGTGGAACAGGCCAAATGGAATGTGTTGCTGACTGTCTACAACAGCGCTTTGGGTGCTCAGTGGCTTCCCACTGTGCCCTGCCTTGATGCTTCAGCTTGGCGGCTCCTCCCTCCTTACCATGTTCATCAGTCCATGGGGGCTTCTCTTTGTCCTGTTAGAGCTTTGTGACCACTAGGCTGATCTATCAGTAGGCTTTTTGGTTTTTTGTTCAGGCTGACCTTGAACTTATTATCTCTCTACTTCAGCTTTCCAAGTGTTGAGGTTACAGCTGGGTGCCACTATAATTGGCAGCAGGGATTTTTTTTTCTTTTTAATTGTAAGGGGTGATAGTTCCTATATTTAACTTAAAAATAAAAAATAAAATACAAACAAACAACACAGAGTTTTACTGTGTTGCCTTGGCTGGCTTGGAATTTACTGTATAGATCAGGATGGTCTTGAGCTCATAGAGACCTGTCTGCATCTGCCTTCCAAGAGTTGGAATTAAAAGTGTGAGCCACCATGCCCACTCCTATTTTTACTTTTTAAATGTTAGATTGATAGCTGAGTGTGGTGGTGCACAGTTTTTATTTTATTTATTTATTTATTTATTTATTCATTCATTCTTTTTTTTATTTTTGTTTGTTTTGAGACAGGAGTTCTCTGTGTATCCCTGGCTGTCCTGGAATTCACTCTGTAGATCAGGCTACCTTTGAACTCACAGAGATCTGCTTCCTCTTGCCTCTCAAGTGCTGGGATTAAAGGTGTGCATGTACCAGACAGTGCTGGTGGACATTTCTAATCTCAGCACTAGGTACACTAAGTCTTGAGGCTTAAAGAGTTTTAAAAAAGGGCCTTTGGAAAATGAATCATTCTTTGTGAGTTCATAACATTATTCTATAAATGGCTCTATCATGGAGAAATCAGCCAGGTTCATGGCTCTTCTGAGATAGGCTGTGCCCAGGTTCATGTCCATGTTCTTAGTTCCACTGGAAGGAACATACAAGGTGAAAGGGAGCCAACATCACATCTATGCAGATGGGAGAAGATGGTGGTGTTGCTATCTAATAATGCCTGTCATGGGTGAGCAGCAGACTGAGGACTGCTGAAGGCAGAGCCTGGAGTTGAGCACCTGCTTCCCAGAATTTCTAGATATAGAGCCCTTGGCACAGCCTGGACTCTTTTTGTTTTTGTTTTTCTTTGTCTTTCTTTGTTTTTCGAGACAGGGTTTCTCTGTGTAGCCCTGGCTGTCCTGGAATTCACTCTAGACCAGACTGGCCTCGAACTCAGAAATCCACCTGTCTCTGCCTCCCAAGTGCTGGGATTAAAGGCGTGCGCCACCACTGCCCGGCCAGCCTGGACTCTTAAGGAGTATCCTCAGATCATCAGGATCTGGGATTGGATGTGTTTTCTTAGACAAGTGAGAATGATTCGTGGCCAGCCCCTTTTCCAGCCCCGTGCTCACTGAACGATGTAGGGTGATTCTCTCAGGACCAGACACTAGTGAGTCATTAAACTAGCATGTCCAGCAATTTTCCCTGAGATCCCTCCTTGCCAGCACAACATTGCACTGGGGGCTTCTGAGATGACTTGGTGGTTCAGAGCATGTACTGCTCTTTACAGGGACCTGAGTTAAGTTCCCAGCACCCATATTGGGCCACCCACAATGATTTGTAACTCCAGAGTTGGGAATTTTATGTGTCTGGCCTGTGCAAGTACCTGCACTCACATGCGTACTCCCTCTCACTTGTTCATAGTTTCAAAAATGGATAAGAAAAGTTGTACTGTATTGGATGGGATCTGGGCTTCTGTGGTTGGCCAGGAGGTCAAAAAACCTCTTGCACCCTTACCTGGTTCTTATCTTGATCATCTGCCAAGCCCTGGTATTCTGTGTCCTGCATTTCCTTGAAGTCTTTCCTTTCTTCTCTCACCTGGAACACAATAGATAGCTTTTACTTTGTCTTACTTGTCTCCACTGGAATACTTGCCCTTCTCTGTCTTCTTACTAGGAAGATGTGCGTAGGTGGGACTGGTGCCTACAGGGCACCTGTGCCCATCTTCACATGGGCTGCTGAGTGCTTGTAACCCACAGAAGTGAGTCACCACCTCTGTGGGTGCTGTGTTGTTCTACATTCCTTTTTAAGATTTTTTAAAAAATTGTATATGTGTTTTGCCTGTATATATGTATGTCAACCATGTGCGTGCAGTACCCTTGGAGGCTGGAAGAGGACATTGGATCCCCTGGAAGTGGAATTACAGATGCCTGTGAACTATCATGGGGGTGCAGGGAACTAAACCTGGGTCCTCCGCAAGAGCAACAAGTAGTCTTAACCTCTGAGCCATCTCTCCAGCCCCTGTGTTCCACATTGTTCTCAAAGTACTGACCAGGAAGTATGTAGTAAGCATGTGCTGAGTGAGTGATCCTCCTGGCTCAGGGAGGGAGTCCATCTCCTAGGACTCTTCCCTCATTGAGGAAGTGATGTGTTCTAGTGGAGAGTAAGACTCACCGCTATCCTGTTCTTTGTGCTGCTGTATTCCCGGAGCTGGAGTTTCCTCCTCCCTGCAATGGGGGTTTGAGTACTCAGTTAAGTAGAACCACGAAGATTACATGAGACTAGACAGGGTGCCAGTGGAACAGTGCCTCCCTTTTCCAAGTGACTCACTCGTTCCCCAGTCTGCTGGGACTTTTCTGGTTTCCCTCCCTGCCCAATGTAGTTGACTTGAGGTTGCTTCCTTCTGCTCTAACTCACATGCTTCTTTGGCAGGAGGAGCTGGAGCATCTGAACCAGGCTAGTGAGGAAATCAACCAGGTGGAGCTACAGCTCGACGTGAGTGTCTCTTTCCTCACAGCCGTGGGTGGGTCTCTGGAGAGCTCTGTGTTTTCCTGTATTGAGACAGTGGTAGAGGAAGGGGTGTGTTGAACAAATGAGGTTCTGTGACTTATATGCTTGCTTTCCACATTCCTTGCCAGGAAGCCAGGACCACTTATCGGAGGATCCTGCAGGAGTCAGCAAGGAAGCTTAACACACAGGGCTCTCACTTGGGGAGCTGTATTGAGAAGGCCCGGCCTTACTATGAGGCTCGACGACTGGCTAAGGAGGTATGCCTATGTTGTAGTTTAATTTCTGTAGCTGTGACAAATACCAAGACCAAAAGTACCTTAGTGGAGGAGAAGGCTTATGTGACTTACACTTCCAGGTCAGTCCATCACTGATAGAAGTCACCACAGGAACTCAACCAAGAACTTGGGCAGAACCATGGAGGAACCCTGCTTGTTTACTCACTTAAAGGCATATTTTTAGCTAGCTTTCCTGTATAGACCAGAACCACCTGCCCAGGGAATGGTGCCACCCATAGTGGGCTGGGCCCCTTTACATCAATTAAACACTTAAGACAGTCCCCCATAAACATCCCCACAGGCCAGTCAGAATGGACAATCTCTCAGCTGAGATTCCCTTCTCAGTTGTCTCTAGGCTGTGTCAAGTTGACAGAACTAAGTAGGGCAGTTTGACCTATAATTAGGAAGGGCTCCATGTCTGTCTTCAGTCTTTGTATAGATGGGGAATAAAACACCATACTTAAGGACATGGCCACGCACTGAACAGCCTGTGAAGTTGACGAGGTTCTTAAAGTTGTATTCAACTTTAGGAATGTGTTCACTGGGCCAGTGAGGTGGCTCAGTGGATAAAGGCACCTCCTGCCTGACCACCCTAGTTCATTTCCTGGGATCTACATGGTGAAAGGAGAGAATGACCCCTCCTGTGTATTGTCCTCTGACCTCCACATGCTTGGTGCAGCATTTGTGCTGAGGTGCACACATACATACACATACACACAATAAATGGGTAAATGTAAGAAAATGGTCTCTTGGCCAAGAAATGGCTGGGTGAGGGCATTGGGGCCTGTTCAGAAATTTTGTTCAGTCCCACTGATAGTTTTGTTCTTTCTTCTTTCCTTTTCCTCTTCATTCCCCTCTCCCATCTATCCTTGGGCTAGGCTAAGACCCAGGGTCTTGGGAACAGCAGACAAGAACTGTGATGCTGAGTACCACCCACAGGCCTCACCTGCCGATGTGTTTAAGTAGTTAGGATTCAGGCTGCACCTAGTGTATTCTCATTCTCTCTCTCTCTCTCTCTCTCTCTCTCTCTCTCTCTCTCTCTCTTTTTCCTTCTCTCTTCTTCCTCCCCTTCTCTCTTCTTCCTCCCCCACCCCCCCTTCTCTCTCTGAGACACGGCCTTTCTGTGTAGCTCTAGTTGTATGTAGTAGAGCTTTCTATGTAGACCAGACTGGCCTCAAACTCAAGAGATCTGACTGCCCCTGCCTCCTGTGTGCTGGAATTAAAGGCCTGTGCCACTATGTACTGGCTCAATAATCTTCTGTTTTGATTATTTTTTGTTATTTATTGCATTAATACTTACTGTTATTACTGGGATTAGGTCTTTGTTTATCACAAAATATGTGACCCATATGGTTTCTACAATGTATTATCAGTTTAGGTGTTATCACCATATTATTACTTACAATGCAAATTTCACTCAGCCTAGCCATTTTACACTCATATTTTGCATATGAGAGATACTTCTTAGTAATGTGCATTTTTTCAGAGTTTTACATTTTGAACCAATTAAATTTGATGACAAGCTTATAATTATATATAAATTAAACAATATATAGAAGTTGTAATAAGGAGGGGAGAGTAAATCTTCTCCCACCTCCTCAGCAGCCCATCCGTTAGCTTCCAGATACTCCTTAAGTTTGCATATGTGAGAGATGCAGCTCTAAGTAATAGAATTGTTACTCAGTATCCATTTGAAAGAACACTCTTTGCTTAGGAATTTTAAAATTCTTCTTGAATTTGTATATTTTATTAATACTGCCAAATTTGGTAGAGTTTTGTTGTTGTTTGTTTTCAATAATCCTGTTTATAAATTTCATATCCATCAACCTATCACAAAAACTTTGACTTGGTAATTTATATGTAATTTGTCAAATGTGGAAACTATTTGTTTTTAGAGAAGTGCAGAAGATCAATGAGGTTGTATGGGAAATCTGATTTTTTAAAAACCATGTATACATGCAGAGCTCGAAGAGCTGGAGTCCCTGAACTGAGTCTTGATTCATGTGGCTGTTGAGTGCCATGCGTGCCCAGCGCATGTTCACACCAGCTCTAGAAACCACTGTGCTAGTTGCCATGACTCTGTTTCCTCCCTCGGATGCTGTCAGCAGCTAAACATGCATTCTTCCCCTTACTACATTCAGTCTCTGTGTTTTGCTTTTTTGTTTTACTTTGTTATGAATTCTATAAAAATGGGGTCATGTAATATGTGCTGTCTTTGTTCCTTCATTTTATCTGTGTAACTGTATTATGACAGAACACCAAAGCTCTAGACAGCCACCTTCTGGTCATGGAATGCCTTATGGGGCTGAAGAGATGGCTCAGTCCTTTGTCCTTTGCTACTGAACCACACTCCCTAGCCCTGTGACATACTTTAAAAGCCCAAAGACTATTTTCTTTTCTTTCACTCTCTTTCTTTTTTTTTTCCTACTTTCTTTTTCCCTTGGCTGTCTTGGATCTTATTGTGTAGGATAGGCTGGTTTCAACTTTGAAGTCACGGAGATCTGCCTGCCTCTGCCTCCCAAATGGTGGGAATAAAGGTGTGAGGCACTAGGTCTGGCTAAGCTTTTTCCGTTTGTATCAGTTTCCTGTAACTGGAAGCTGAGAATCACCCCCAGGTTTTTGCTTGGCTAGCAGTGGTTGAATATCTCTTATCTTAATTTTGGGTAGAGCATAGCATGTATCATATGTTGAACTGATAACAGACACTATACTTGATCTTAGCCAATGAGCTGAGAAGCTGACTTAATTGTAATTTTGGGCTAAGAAGTATTTTAGAATTTTTTTTTTTCAGATTTTGGAATATGTGCCTACACATAATGAGATACCTTGGAGACAGCAATCAAACAAGGAATTCATGTGTTTGATAATCATCTTATATATAGCCTGATGTGTGAAAATATTGTTTTTATTTAAAAACAATGTTAAACAAAAAGTATAAATTAAGTGTATTTAACTCATATAAAAATATTCGAGCCGGGCAGTGGTGGCGCACTTGGGAGGCAGAGGCAGGTGGATTTCTAAGTTCAAGGCCAGCCTGGTCTACATTCCAGGACAACCAGGGCTATACAGAGAAACCCTGTCTGGAAAAACAAAAAAACAGAACAAAACAAAAAAAAAACAAATTTAAATCTGTAAATATTAAAAAAAGAAAAAAATACTCATTTTTATTTATGTGTATGTATATATGTAAGTCTGCTAGATTTCATGTGGCCATCATATACTGGCATTATGTTTCTTAATATTTATTTCTGTTTTACTAATCTGTAGAATATTGCTTTGATGGCATCTATTCTTAGTGTGATTTGGGAAATGAAGCTGAAATTATAAGTAGGCCTTCCTCTTTTTCTTTTCCTTACCTTGAGGGATTGCATGGGTGACTGGGGTCCTCTCAGGCTTCCCATCCTGATGGCCCTCTCTCCACAGGCCCAGCAGGAGACACAGAAGGCAGCCCTGCGGTATGAGCGAGCTGTGAGCATGCACAATGCTGCCCGGGAGATGGTCTTTGTGGCTGAGCAGGGGGTCATGGCTGACAAAAATCGACTGGACCCTACATGGCAGGAGATGCTCAACCATGCTACCTGTAAGGTGAGGGGTGCTGCCACCAGGTCCCCTTCACTGCTCCCTTAGCTAGTCCTTTACCTTACCTCCATACTCCTTCCCGTTCCTCTCCCACTCCGGCCTTCCCTCAGCTTTGGTTTCTTTTAAGGTGGAACCCGTCCTGTGTCTGCCCAGCTTGGCCTCCTTGCTTCCATGATTTCATTTCTCTCTTAGAAAGCTTCCTCTCCACTCCTGTTTGCTCTGGGTTGGGCTGGCCCCGAGCTCCTCCCAGGCAGTGGCTCTGGATTCAGTACTCACACGTTAGGCTCAGCTTTGTGACTCTCTGTCCTGTTTGGAGAAAGTTCTCCCTTCTCGGGTCCTGCACTCTGCCAGTGTGTGTTGAAGGTATAATTTGTGTTCCATTTCCGAGCTCCTAAAACTAGACTGGGCATAGGGGCACCCTGGCATGGGCTCGTTCTGCCCCCTTCAGTGTGTACAGGGCTGTATCAACTCCCAGATAGTGACTGTGTCTTTCAGTTCTTTGAATGCACAGAGAAGACACTGTCCTGTGGTGGGCCTTGTCAGGTGAGTGTAGTGAGAGAAGGAAGGGTCACTGAGGCTGTGGTGTGTAGCCACGGGAATGGGAGCACCGTGAGCTTGCCTGGTTCTGGGAGACAAGGTGCCTGGAGCCCACGCCTGTCCCCTGGTCACATAATGCTCTGGGCTACACACACATAGGGAGGCTGTGGCAGCTATGAGAACCCAACCTGCCTCTGTGCCTCCTGTGCCTGACCTGAAGCCATTGTCACTGAGGGCTCCCTTGGGACTGTGGTGTCTGCACAGTTGAATGTGCTTGAGGGTGTTTAGCCATGTTTAGTGGGGACTGAACAGGCTGTGGCACCTTTCCATGGTATCAGCAGAGCGGAGGGCCAGGTCATACAAGTGAAGAGGTGCAAGACACTGGGGAAGGGTACTTTCAGAGGCACGTACTTGAGATGGGCAGAAGCTCTTGTTGCCCCTGAGTCCTCTGTCTTACTCTGCAGACCTCAGGGATGGGGAGGGCTCTGCAGACGTTCCTGTTCGGGTTCCCTCTGGGCAGTGTGCGTGTTGGCAGCCTTGGGCTGATCCCATTTGAACGCCAGCTCACTGATGTGTGTCTCCTCCCAACCTGGGCCAGGTGAATGAGGCGGAGGAAGAGCGTCTACGAGGTGAGCGGGAGCATCAGCGTGTGACGAGGCTGTGCCAGCAGGCCGAGGCCCGGGTCCAGGCCCTGCAGAAGACCCTCCGGCGGGCCATTGGCAAGAGCCGCCCCTACTTTGAGCTCAAGGCCCAGTTCAGCCAAATCCTGGAGGTAGCTAACGGGGGAGGATGGGCAGGTAGAGCGAGTGCTGGTGTGCTTCTTGGGTCAGTGCCGAGAACTGACAAGGGTAAAGCCTTGCTAGACCAGCCAGTACTCTCGCCTGCTCAGAGTGACCCTGCAGACGTGGAAGGCAGCGATGAGAGGCTTGTGCTGGAGGAGACCGCTGGTCAAGAAGCAACGGGAAGTGAGGAAAGTGAGAAGTGATGGGAGACTGGGATGAGGAAACCAGCCAGGTGGGGAGGGAAGAACAGAGAGAAAGGGAGGAGCAGCCAGAGGGTGAAGACCTGGGGGGAGGGCTGAATGGGGCTCAGGTTAGGAGGGACATTCAGAGGACAGTAGGGCTGGAGAGAGTATTGCAGTTCAGAGGTGCATCCTGGGGCTCTGGGGTAGGAGGTCTGACCTCAGGGACAAGTGCCAAGTGGGGTCAGAAGACATCTCATGGGTTACCTGTTTTTTTTCTGCAGGAGCACAAGGCCAAGGTGACAGAACTGGAGCAGCAGGTGGCACAGGCCAAGACCCGCTACTCAGTAGCCCTGCGTAATCTGGAGCAGATCAGCGAGCAGATTCATGCCAGGCGCCGGGGTTTGCCCCCTCACCCACTGGGCCCACGGCGATCCTCCCCTGTTGGGGCTGAAGCTGGAACTGAGAACATTGAGGATGGGGACAGTGGGATTGAAGGGGCAGAGGGCGGGGGCCTGGAGGAGGGCAGCAGCCTTGGGCCTGGCCCAGGCCCAGATACGGACACGCTGAGCCTATTGAGTCTGCGCACTGTGGCCTCTGACCTGCAGAAGTGTGACTCAGTTGAGCACCTGCGTGGCCTCTCAGACCATGCCAGTCTAGATGGCCAAGAGCTGGGAGCCCAGAGCCGGGGACGCCGGGGAAGTGACGGCGGAATCCGAGGGGGCCGGCACCAGCGCAGTGTCAGCCTGTAGCTCTGTGGCCAGAGCTAGCTTGATTTCTACCATGGGCAATCAGGGCCCCCCAGGCCTTCCCTCCTCAAGTCCTGTCTGCCCCAGATCCTGGTCTGCAGCCTTCCTTGGGCAGGATGAGCTGTCTCAGCCCTGTGTCCCTAGCTTCCTCACCGTTCTTCTCTCAGGAGGCAGCTCTCTCTTTGCCTTACCCACCTAGAAGGCTTGCTCTCTGGCCCCATCTCCTCTTCCCTGCTGGCACTCGAGTCTCTCTGATGCTCTCTTGATTTCCTCTCCTGACCTGACTTCTGTCTGTCTGGCTTTTCCCCTCAGGGAACTTGGTCTAGAAGACACAGGAGGCCATGTGAGAACATGGGCATCCTAGCCCAAGTGATTGGACAGGCCCTCACCCGTTGATTCCTGGCCCTGTCTTCCCAGAAGGCGTGCCCTAGATATGCTGCTGAGTCCCTGGCAGCCTGTGCTCTTGTCCTGTCCCAGCTTGCCTGTGAGCAGTGTGTAAAATGTCCATGTGCCTCTGGAAGACACCACCTTCTGTCAGTGCACCTCTTATGACCTTAGCTGCTGTGCTGTGTGTCCTTCATTCAGGGTCAGGTGGGGGAATCGAACCCTGTTATCAACACAGGCATTTGGGTCAACTCCAAATGGCCCCGGTCTGTGTGATGTGTCTCCAGTTGGGCTGAGCCCTTACAATTGCCAAGGTGCTAGTGGGTCCCTGGTGGGGCCTATACTGGAGGGTAGAGATGTGAGATTCTCAAGGCTGAGACCTTGCCATCCCCACCTTCCCCGTGTGTGGCGCTGGGCTTGCTTTTTCTTGGTAGAGGTTGAACTGGAGCTTGGCACCCTCCTACAGGGTGGCATTAGGGAATTTGGTGCTCAATTGCTCTTTATTGCTCTTCCTCACCCCAGATGGTACTTACGCTAGGAACCTTTGGAGAGCGCTTTAGCATGATTGTAAAGCCTCCTTTCTTGTATGAGAGGAGTTGACCTGAAGTGAGGGGTTCCAGCCTCAAAAGGCAGCTCTGGGTGCTGGTGTTCCTGGGTTGTGTGAAGGGAAACCACACCAGATCTGGGTGCCTTGGAAGAGCCAACCTCCTGTCCCACCAAGAGGATGAGGACAGTGCTTGCCCAGGGCTGGGAGAAGAGTACCTGTGTCTCGCATGGGATCTCCCAATTTTCAGGTTTCAGGATGGTCACAATGAGAACCTGTGGAGTTTGAGGTGGCTGTTCGGGAAAAACAGAAATGAGGAGGACATGATTGTGCGAGTGCATGTGCTGGTGCGTGTGGGAAAGGGTCAGTCCTGGTTTTATTTAAATAAAATAGTTTATGTAACAGTGATGTTTACTGTCTGTTAAAAGAGACATGGGGCTAAGACGGGACTCTTCAGACCATGCAGTCAAGGAGTCAAGATGGTACACACCAACTGAGAAGAGAAAAAAGAGGTGCCAGCTTTTGAGTGGTCACACACGCGCTAAGTGGACAAGGCCGGGGAGCCAGTGTTCAGAAGCTGTTCAACGGTAATGAGTGCCGGGGGTGGCCCTGCTGCAGAGGGCCTGTAGGGTGGAGTGGCCACATAGTATCCTGGGTGTGTCTGCACATAAACATTAAGGAAAGGATCAAAGTAGGGACACTTGATTATTAAAAATGGTGTGATGCTGAATCTTGAATTTCCAGTAGACAGTGGTTTCTGTCCACTGCAGTGCCGGGACGCAGTCACAGAGAGTGACTCCTGAGTTGGAGCCCATCTGGTTATAGGTGGGAGAGATCTGAGTATGTTTAGACACAGATGGGAGGCACCTGGGAAACAGCCAGGAAATCAGGTCTACAGGAGCCGTAGAGGTGAAGATTGGACTGGAGCTGAGGCCACTCAGTGCAGTGTAAACAGATGTGGCTCACATCTGTAATCCCAGCATCCAGGAAGTGAAGGACAGAGGATCAGAAGTTTAGTCATCTTCGGCTATGTAATGAGTTTGAGGCTAGTCTTGGCTACCTGAGACCATGATCAAAAGGCTCTGGGGCATGCTGGGGCTGTACAGTGAGGCCCGCTGAGACAGTGCGCCAGCCTGGGAGAGTGAATTACTAGCGTAGTAGGACTTTAGGTGTCAGGGAAGGGCAGGGTGGAGGTCAAAGATGGAGAAGTATAAGCAGAGCTCTGATCCTGGGGACACTGGACACAGGGCCACTGGGAGCCAGGACAATTGAACATTCACTGTACCTTTTGACAGGTACTGTCCAGGTACTCTTCTTTGAGGCCACCTTCCTGATCTATCGGGAGACTTTGGGTGAATAGACTTAAAAATTAATTGTCTTCATTAATGGTGCAGAGTGGAGTGTTCTGCATGTAATGAGACAGTTGCTATAGTTAAGCTTAGTGGGTTTTGTGTGTGTGTGTGTGTGTGTGTGTGTGTGTGTGTGTGTGTGTGTGTGTGGTTATTTTCTCTTACGTTAAAAAAAGACACCTAAAATCAGTCTTAATGAACTTAGCATAACATAATCATAGTTGTCAAGAGTGAGCTTTTGAGATGTCCCTAGCCAGCCCCTGGCAGGCAGGGTCCTTAAGGCTTCTGGTGCAGTAGAACATCAGAGAATGCTTGATCTGTTTCCGTGCAGTTTGTCTTTGGCTTCGTCACCTGCCAGGTAAGTGAGCAGAGACTAGGAAGGTCAGAAAGTGGTGTTTCCTACAAGTGAGAAGTCC